CCAGCGCCAGGCCCCGAGGGAATGGCCTCAAGCTGCCCAGGGCAGGGTCAGGCTGGCTCTGAGGAAGGATTTCTGTGCAGAAGGGGCTGTTGGGCGTTGGAATGGGCTGCCCAGGGCAGGGGGGAGTCCCCGGGATCCCTGGAGGGGTTGAAGAGTCGGGCTGAGCCAGCGCTGAGGGATCTGGGGGAGTTGGGAACGGTCAGGGGGAGGGTCATGGTGGGGCTGGAGGAGCCTCAAGGGCTTTTCCAACCCAGATGATTTTGTGATCCTGGGCTGATCCCACCTGACTTTTCCAGCAAGACCGGTGCTCACAGCCCCATGTCTATGTTTTGGGGCCATCTCACCAGTTCCTGGTGGTCAGGTGCAGGTGCTGTCTTGTAGCCGTAGGGGAACATGAGCATCTGGGAGTAGCTGTGGATGGAGATGACCGATTTGACATTCCCGTGGCCGCGGATGAAGTCCACGATGGCTTTTACTTCTCTCTCGGAGTGGGCGTACGGGCCGTGGTAGGTCTCGGAGCAGGGATTGCTGCTGGAGCCAGAGCCTGGGGCATGGCAGAGGAGGCACCATGCAGAGAGGCTGCCCCCGGGAAGGGTTTCTAACCCCCTCCCCCCCAAGTTTCTCCCCTCTAGAAGGAAGTTTTGATGCTTTGAGGCACAAGCATTGCCCAGGGTGGGGACGTGGTGGCCCAGCTCTCACCTCCGAATCCAGCGTCCCAGTTCCGGTTGGGGTCCACGCCGACGCAGGAGGAGCCGGCGTTGATGGACCTCGTCTTGCGCCACATGCGGTTCTAAGAGCAGAGGGAGGGGGAGCGAGACCACTGTGGGGCTGTGAATCCCACCCCCTCGGGGGGGACAGCTGGTCCCCTCCTGCCCAAGCATCTCCAGGGATGGCAGGAAACCACCCCCACCCCCTCACTGTCCCACGTGGGAAGGAACATCCCTCCCCAACTCAAAAAACGTGGCCAGTGACAAGCGTTAGGACAGGTTCCACCCCCCCAGCAGAGTTCCTGCACTCACGGAGCTGTGGGTGAAGGCGAAGCCGTCGGGGTTGGTGACAATCTCAAAGAAGATGTCCATGCTGTCCAGGATGGCGGTGATGGAGGGGTCCCGGCCGTACTCCGTGGCGATCTGCACAGGGAGGGGGGTGAGAGCGGCGTCGGTGCCCCTCGGGGATGAGGGATGTAACCGAGTGGCACCGTGGGGAGGTGTTAAAAAAAGGACTGGGGTAAGATTTGAGGGTCCCACGTTCCCAGGGCACGTGGTTACCTTGTTGGCCGTCCAGATGCCGGTGGCTTGGGTGATCCATTCCCGCGAGTGGATGCCCGTGTCCAGCCAGATGGCCGGCCGCTTCGACCCCCCGGTGCTGAACTGGACAGGGAGTGGGGGGATGTCAGCCCCGTGCCCTCCCAGGGCTGGGCAAAACGAGGGTGCCCCACCCCGTACCCACCTTCAGCACATAGAGGGGCCTGTTCTCGTAGCTTTGCCCGATCTGGATCTTGCTAACGAGGCTGGGATGATCGTCCACCAGCGTGTCCATCCAGTTGTAGATCTGAAAGGAGGAGCTGCTGGGTCATGAGGCTCACCCTGGCTTTTTTTGTTGGTTTTCTGTTTGGTTTTTAGGGTATCCAGCAACCAGATGCAACACGCAGAGCTTCCCTGGAGAAGAACCTGGTGCTTCCCTGGAGAAGACCAGGTGCTTGGACCTCTGTGCGAACAGGGAGGAGCACGTCACAAAGGTTTTTGCAAAAGCTGTGAGGGGAAAAAAAAATCTCTGAGATCACCCCAAACCATCACAGCCTCAATCAGCCACCCACTGGGCTCCACGCACAGGGTTTGTCCTCCAAAATGAAGTTGAAGATGTCTTCCAGCGAGGTGGGGAGATGCCAGGGGAGGCCATGCTGCACGTGGAGGGATGCTCGGTCTCCTGGCTCAGCTAAAACCTTCACCCAAGGAGGAGAAACGTGTCCCGGGGGGGGGTCTCACCTGCCACCACGAACGTCACCACATGGATGCAACCATGGCACAGGCTGAGCGTGACGCCAGCGAGACAAAATGAATGTTCAGCAGAGCAAAAAGTACCTCATCTAGCGTGTGGTAGGAGGCAAAATCAAACGTGCTGGTGCTTCTCTCCATCCTCCTAGACTTCATCATGTTTTTCTTTTCCTCATCCAATAATTCCTATTGCGGAGGGAAAAAAACAAAACATCAAACAGGCTGGAAGGAGCAGGGGGTTGGGGTTTTCTTCCATCTCCTCATGGTTTCCAACTTTTTAGACCTTCTCTTGGAACTGAACTGCAGGAGCTCATCCCGCTCCCCGCTGCAGCCCTTACCTGCACGTCCTCGATCATGATGCTGTAGGAGATTCTATTGGACTCCAGGAAGATTTTGACTGCTTGGAGGCTGTGGAAGGGCACCCGCAGGTCGGCTGGGTGGCCGGGTCGGGTGGGGTGACGCCAAAAGTCAACCTGGTGTGAAGGAGAGGAGAGAGTTTGGCCTCGTCTCGTGCTGCTGCTCATCCACTGAGCTCCCCAGGACCAAGACGGGGCTTGTAAGTCTCCCATGAGGGATCTGAAATGATCTTTGGGCAAGTTTTGGGACATGCAGGGCTACCAGGATGGGTCGGGGTCCCTCTGCCTCACTCAGTGGAGCTTCCACAGAAACATCCTTCAGCTTGTTGGCTGCAAACGTCCCTCTGACTGACGAGTACTTGTGATTGGAGCAGATGTGGCAAGACACCGAGGTCACTGCACGCCCGGTTTGCTCTTTGATTTGATAGAGGTAACTCCTGACATCAGCTTTGTACCACCGGTCCCTCTCCTGCTGCTCCCACTGCTTAAATTTATCACCAGGATTCACCCCACACATCAAGCAAGGTGAACACCGCTGGAGCAGAGTTGTAATTATGTCACCTGAGACCCAAAAAATGCAATGACATTTTAGATCTGCATGCTCAGCCTGCGTACGACGATGCTGCCAGTGGCCAGGGCGTTCTTGCTTCGTTTGAAACAGGAGAGCTGAGCTCAAGGTGCCCCAAGCTAAATATTATATCGTGATAAATTACACGTAGCCAAAATGGGAAGGAAAATTGGATGGGAGGTCAAAAGGAGGGAGCCCTGGATGTCACCAGGGTCTCTGTTGTAGAGCGGGGCACACGCGAGGCCCCGTTGCGGCTCACCTGCAGCTCCGCCCGCTCGCCCAGCCCCCTGAGCAGGGTGATCTGCTCCTCCTCGCTGGCCATGACACGGAGGACCTGGTCCCTGCGGGGAGGCAGAGCCGTCAGCGCCTGCGGGAGGGCTCCCGGCCCCGGGGATGGGAGCTGAGCCTCCAGGGCCCATCACGAGCCCATCACGGGTGGAGGCTGCGAAAGGTCTGCGCTGGCTCAGTTGGGTTGGAGAGTGCATCAGTTGGTGGAGGTTTGGTGGCGAGAGTGAAAAACGCAAGTTTAGAACAGCCACGATGGGGAAAAAGAGCAAGTGCCACAGAGCCCGAGGTGGTCTCCATCCTTCCTCTGATCACAAGAGCTCCCCAAATGTTAGGAAATATCTGATATATCAATACCTTCTGTCAATTTATCAATATCGAATATCTTGAGATTTATATAAATATATATTTATATATCCTGCTGATATGTAAATATCGAATGTATAGATATATAAAAATATCTAACAACAGATATGAAAATATCTATCAATATATCAATATAAGATATATAAAGATATATATCTCTAATATATTGATATCTTCTGTCAAAATAGAAATATAAATATCTAATATAAATATATATCGATACGTAGAAAATATCAATATCTTCTGTCAGTATATAAATAGATATCGATACGTATAAAAATATCTAATATATTGATGTCTTCTGTGGATATATAAATATCTAATATATCAATATAGATGAAAATAGTATATTGATTTCTGTTGGTATAGAAATATCTAATATATTGATATATATGGAAATATTTAAGATATCGATATCTTGTCAATATAGAAATATCTAATATATCAATAAATAGAGAAATATCTAGTATATTGATATCTTCTGTTGATATATAAATAATATGTCGATATATATGAAAATATTTAAGATATCGATATCTTGTCAATACAGAAATATCCAATATATCAATATAGAGAGAAATATCTAATATTTTTATATCTTCTGTTGAGATATAAATATGTATTGATATATAACTATCTACTATATTGATTTATATATGCAAATATCTAAGGTATCGATATCTTCCCTGCCTCAGCCGGGCTGGGCTCGCCCAGGGCTGGCCGGGAAGGCAATGCTCTCCCGCGGCAGCGAGGTCTCCCCAGCTTGGGCCAGTCCTTCCCCTGGCAAAGCTCCGGGTGCTGCTCTCGGGCTTTGAGCACCCCCAAAGCTGGGCTGAAACCACATCCTTCCCGCTGTCCCCACAGCGAAAGCTGCCGCGTTTCCCTCCTTCGGGATGTCACCCAGTGGAGAGCGGACGGGGCCGGGTGTCTCCCGCCCCGGGTTCCCGATCAGGATGTTGTCCCCCCTCCACCCCCCAGCCCCCCCGGTGCTTTCGGCAGGACTCACCCCACAAAAAGCTGCTCGCTGCGGGCAGCTGCCGCCAGGGCGGCGAAGAGCAGGAGGATCTTCATGGCGAGTGGATGCAGAGGAGCCTCGGCCCCTGAGGGCATCTCTAACCCCCCTATATAGTGCTGCGGGGGCACCCCTGGGCCTTCTCACCAAGGCCACATCTGCCGTCCCCGCGGAGCCGGCAGCAGCAAACTGATAAACCGGGAACGGCTCCCGCGAGCCCAAATGTTTGTTTTATTTGGCGAAGTCAATAAAAGAGCAGCCAAATTAGGGAGGATCTGATAACATCTGGGGTCCTGCCGCGGGCAGCCGGGGAGGCTGCGTGACCAAGGTTGGCGCGAGGCGTCGTGGTCACGGTCACCACCCAACCCACGGTCGGAGGACCCCAGAGTACACACCGACACGGCGCTTTGTTTCCATGAATTTCTTTATTAGAGATGACTGTTAAGAAGTCAGTTATAATTATGATTAGCAAAGCAAGTGTCTATTACATGTTGCTACAAAATTACTAGCAGCAAAGCAAGTATATATACATATATATTTATGATTAATTACTTCTACACCCACCTATCTACATACAAAATTCAAAATATTCCAATTACCACCAGCGCCATTCCTCAAACCTCTCCCAGGAGTGGGGCCAGTTGACGACAGACAAAGCCTCACTTCAGAGACAACAGGCATCATGCAGCCCCGCGCCCCCGGCGAGGACGGTCACCTGGGGGTAACGCTCAGAGAAAGAGGGGCTTCGTTTTGGGGTCGGAAGCGAGGTATTTTGATGTCTTCCGTGTCGCTACATGAGTGGGCGCAGGACGGCGGCTCCTGGAGCAGCCGTTGCTGATTTCTGCTGTCGCAGGTCAGGTGGTTATAGTGGTTTCTTTGTTCCGTAGGTTATAGCAGAGTCTTTGTTCCGCAGGTCATAGCAGTGCCTTTGTCGGGTGCTTATCTACGATGCCTCCGCGCTCGTCAAGGATGCTCCGGGTTCCTGGGCCGGGTTCCCGGGCTGGCAGACATCATCTCGGTCAGTATTTTAGCAGATATTTGGTTTGTGGTTTTGGTTGTTTTTTTTTTTCCCCATTAAAGTCAGGTTGTCTTTCTGGTGGCACTGACAGCGGGGTCTGCAGGTGCTGCGGTCGGGGGCCTGTCACAGTTTTCTAACGTGAACGTGGTGCCGGGGATCCTCCTCTCTGCGTGGCAGGAGGGCTGTGTCCGACCTCCTGGCTGAAGCAAGGCCAAGCTCTGGGGGCAGACCAGGTCCCTCTGCGCTGGGTTTTGGAGTCCTCCGAGGATGGAGGCTCCTCAAGCCCTCAGCGATGTGTCCATCGATGTTTTTCACTCTGGTGGAAAAGTGTTTTCCTGCACCCAGCCTGGCTCACTCTTGGTTCAGCTGATGCCGCAGCAAAGAGCTTGGCTGTGTTTTCTCAGCCGCCTTGTAGGGATGGGAGGGCCCCTGTTAGGTTCCTCGGGCCCATCTCCCTCAGCATCCCACCGTGGGACACTCCCATCCCTCTTGGTGGGGACTTGCTCCGGGCCTTTTCAGTGGCAGGGGTCCAAAATCTGGCTCCAGCCATCACCAAGCCCCCACACTGGCTGCACGTGGCCTCAAGTCCACAAACGGTTGGACAAAGCTTCAAAGCCACGGGTCTACAACCCCGGCCGAGGCTCCTCGGGCTCTGCAGCTCCTGCCCACTGCTCACAGGCGGCAACGGGTCAGCCAGGTCCCCGAGCCAGCCGCGTGCCCTCCCCGTCAGCAGGGTTTTCCCAGGGGTGGTTTTGGCCCTTTCAGAAGGGTCAGTTTGAGAAGCAGGTGCCACCAAACAGGGCCAAGAGGGGAGAAAATGGGCTGCCCCGCACCCCAAAACGCCTAGACTTAACCCAAAACTAAACCCACCTTCACCTTCCCGCCCCAGCCAACAGCCCTGTGGCCTTTGAGTCTGAACTAATATTTTACTGGCTGCATCAGGTGTGTGTGCTCTGAGGCGGAGCTGACAGAGCAGTGGGTAACTCCCCAGCTGCTGGGGGCAGCACAGGACACAGTGATAAACGCGTTTTAGACTCAATGTTGACCGCAACAGCAACAGGGATTGCTGATCTCATTAATCTCTGTGTGCACACCCCGAGCTGTGTGTGCTTAATCCCCAAGAAATTAGCAGGTGGAACGAGAGGAGGGAGGCAGGTTCTTGAGGGATGGGGATAGGCTGTGCTGGGGGAGAGCAGGCATCCTCCCACCACCATCCTCCCTCTAACTGTGCCCACTGGGCACAGCTGGGAGGGAAAAAAAGGGCAGGACAAATATATTAGACCAGGAGACCCCCACCTCCCACCAGCGGCTGAGGACTTGGCAGCATCTTGAGGCTCATTAAAGGAAATTAAATTAATCAGTCTCACAGCCTAGGTTATGCTGCTTAACATCAGACCTTCCACAGCAGCATGTTCTGCCCCCAGAAGCTCTGGCAGAGTCCCCACGTAAAAAAAAAAAAAAAAAAAAAAAGAAATTCTTGCCTGGACAGAAATTCCTCCCTTCCTCTAGACAGCCAACGGGCACTACCAGAGCGTAAGGTGGGCTCTTCCTCGTCCCTGTTCCTACTGTGGTTTGTTGAGACAGACCACAACCGTGTCTTAAAATAATCTGTGGGGTCAACCACATACATCGAGAGGCAGCAAACAAGACGAGTGTTAAAAGTTTTTTATGTGCAGACACGTAGCACTGTAGGAGGAAAGCACAGAGGGGTTTTATTCAGCCGGGTGCCGTATCGTTACAGCCGTCCAAGCACGCCAAGGGAGGAGGATTTATGGGGTTGCAGCTCCAGCTGATTCCCACCCCAGCTCTTAGTACGAATTGTCTCGCACGTGCTCCATGATTGTTTTCAGACCCAGCCAGGTCTCCTCGGCAGTTGGGATAATTTGGCTGGCCGGCAGGAGGAAACCGTAGCGACCCGTGTCTCGCAGCTCGAAGGCGAAAGAGTATTTGATGCCGTAATCGTAGCTCCAGTCAATGCTGCCTCCACTGGCTTGGTCTGCAAGAGAAGAGCCAAAGAGCCGGAGGGTGAACGGAGGCTTGATTTGGGTCCTGCTGCCCTGCTTTTTATAGCCACGAGGGACAAGTGTTAGGTTTTTATGTGAACGCTCAGCTCCGATGTTTGTTTGGCGGTGTCACTGCTGCCAAGAGGGAGAGCCCTTGGCAGGGGGACAGGGACTGTTCACAGAATCCCAGAATCATCTGGGTTGGAAAAGCCCTTGAACATCCTCCAGTCCACGGATGGGGACTCCCCCCCTGCCCTGGGCAGCCCATTCCAACGCCCAACAGCCCCTTCTGCACAGAAATCCTTCCTCAGAGCCAGCCTGACCCTGCCCTGGGCAGCTTGAGGCCATTCCCTCGGGGCCTGGCGCTGGCTCCTTGGCTCCAGAGACTCATCCCAGCGGGTTCTGTATCTGATCACCCAGTGGTTTATCTCACCCACTGTCTCATCAAGAGAAAGTTCAAGAGATACCAGAAAATCCCAAGGAAGTGGGAAATCTCCCAATAGTCAGCAATCAGCTTTGTGCTGATGTAACGGGTGGTTGTGGAGAAAACAGAGCCAGACTCTTCTTGGAGCTGGGCAAAAGGACGAGTGGCACCAAACAAATTGCCACACAGGGGAAAATTGTGGTTGGATATTGGGGAAAAAGAAAATCCCGTTGGGAAATTTTGGGGTGGGCTCGAAGAAGCTGTGGGATTTGTCTTTAGAAATAGCAAACCAAATCAAAACAATTAACCAAAGCTCATCTGAGCAAAGCCCTAAACAACCTAATCCAGCTTTAAATTCAGCTCTGACTCCACAGCCTGCCTGCTTTCGGCAGCGGCTAGACTAGAGACCTCCAGAGGTCTGTGACATTTGAATTACCATCATGAGATCCTTATCGCCTCAAAGATGTTGTCACAGCTGTGATGCAAAGGAAAGGAAAATATGGATGAGCAAAGAGGGCTGAGAAGGGGTGGGGACAGCACGTGGTCGCATACGACCGAGGTTTCTCTTTTAACAGCGTGGCATTGCACCGGGATTTTCTTCACTCTCGTGGATGGTTAGTTATGGACGGCAGAGTTTAGCCTCTTGTTTTTTATCCTGATATCTCACTGTAATCCTTGAGTATAAAAAGCCAGCTGGACAGAGCAGAGGAAGCTAAAGCCAAGGCAGTTCGTCTCACCAGCTCGGCGTGGTCTGCAGGTTCCGTGCACTTATAGCCATAGGGGTACATCAGAAGCTGAGAGTAGCTGTGGAGCGTGAGGAACGCCCGGATGTTCCCATGATTCTTAATAAAGTTGACAACGGATCTAACTTCCACCTCTGAGTTGGCACTGGGCCCACGGTAAGAGTCAGAACAGGGATTATTACTGGCTCCAGGACCTGTTGGTGCAAAGAGGGAACAAAGGCAAACCTGTAAGAACTGGCGTTCACGAAAGGTCAGAGCAGAGCAACACAAAGCCAGGCTTTCCTAAGAACAGGTCTTCAGCCAAAGGCAAGGCCTTAAATGCTGATAAATGCTCAAAGAACAGCGACGAAGCATGAATACTCAAGGAAAGAACTTCTACACATTACTGCCTTCATCTTGTGCTCACTGGCAATTAATCCATACAAAATTATCTTGACAAAAGACAGCCACCATCCTATTTGACCATTTTCTTTCTGACCCCCTTATATTAAGGCAGCTGCTGGTCCTATGTAACAGGATCCAATCAGGTGAAAGGGCACTTCCTTCTTAGCGACAGCCAGAATCCAGAAACTTTCTTCCTACCTCCAAAACCTGCATCCCAGTTCCTGTTTGGATCAACTCCAATACACACGCTGCCTTGGTTCTTGGAGCGGGTCTTCCGCCACATGCGATTCTACAACAAACACACACAATGGCTTTGAAAAGGAGCAAATCTGGGTCCTTGCATTAAAACTGCTCCCCAGAAATAGTTGCCGTTCACCAGGAAGCGATCCTAGGCGCAAGCCTGAGATTATTTCTGATGGGCTGTCTGCCAAGATGGGCCAATGGACAGAAATCAAAGGGCTGGTGAATTTACAGGGGGTTAAGATGGGTTGGACAATTAGTATCTTTGGCTGCCCAAATTAGTATTTTTTGTAACTCCTTCATACAGCATTAAGAAATGGACTTTGAGAGCGTACATCCCTAGCATTTATTATTCACTTGGAAGAGCATGACAGCTTTCTAAACCAGTTTAGACACAGAGCATGCCTACTCACTGTGGTGTGAGTGAATACGTATCCATCAGGGTTTGTGACTGTCAGCAGAAAAATGTCCATTTTGTTCAGCAGAGAGGTGATGGATGGATCCTTCCCGTAGTCGGAGGCAATCTAAGCAGAGACACACTCTGATTATCAGCAGATTTCTTTCCTGCATGCTTACGTTCTAACAACCAGGTACAGAGGCAAGTCTGGCTTTTGGGGCAGGAAAACAAGAAGCATCAATTATCTGCTGGCCATAACTGTTCCTCGTTAGACTTCAAGCTTGGAGAGAGCAATGAATCTGTTTTATTATTTTATTCTAAAGACAGGAAGTCATTGGGAGAGGGCAACAAAATTTTCTCCTGCGTGTCCCAGAGAATGGGCAAAGGTCGGCACTAAGATTGAGGTGAATTAGCTAGGTTGGGAACATAAACCGTGCTGCACTTCTTGTGGCCTCATCATTTTCAGCAGAATGTAAATGCTCATTTACACAGAGCTGGAAGTTTGGGCACTTTTGTGGAAGGTAAGCAACCACACAGGGTTTGCCTGTGTTGGCAGACCAAAGCAGCAAACTAATCTCAAAGTCCTGGGTTATTTGTATAACTATCAGCCCTGCAGTCCTCAATAATTTCACCTGGACTAGTACATTCTGTCTACCTAAGCTTCTCCCAGCTGCTCTAACAACACACAGCAATTTTCAATTCTTTGTCCTGGCAACTGCCATATTCTCTCTGGAGCTGGCTGTGTTTTAAGAGGGGTGAAGGAGAGTTAGCAGAGCTGGTTAAACGCATACAGGTGTGATATACTTTTAAATTGTCAGAGGCATTGCTAAGATTAAAAAAAAAGAAAATGAATCACTGCTGAAGCGACCTTTCTAGCTATCCATATCGCACTCGCTTGGGTGACCCACTCTCGGGAATGGATGCCGGCATCTAGCCAGATTGCGGGACGGTTGCTTCCTCCAGTGCTGAACTGTCAAAGAAAACAGAAAGTTTTAAAACTCCCACTGATGCCTTTTAGTCAAGAACATCCTGTGTAGAGTGGGATGCTTTGGACCAAATTGTGCTGTATCTGTAATGCACATGTATATTAGCACATGTCTACATACAGGCAGGCACAGGTTCTGTGATCTATGCTGTACCTTGAGCACATACAGAGGCCGTTTTTCATAGGATTGCCCGATCTGGAGCTTACTGATGATGTTGCTGTACTCAGACACAAGATGATCCAGCTCTGCATAAATCTGAAAAGAAAAGTCATGGTACCATTTACATGTGTGTATCGTACCACCCAGAACAACTGTAGGACCTGATGAAAACTACTTTTCTCTCCTTTTGCCTTCGTTACTGTGATCCCTTCAAAGCCCCATCCCACCTTACGTCGGTGTAGGCAGTGCTGTTCCTAATGTCACAAAGAAAAGGAAGCACCGCCGTATCATCAAGATCTACTTATTTCAGGAAGAAGTTCAAAACCCTCTTTAAGAACTTCTGGTAATAAAAATACCTTACCCTCTGCTCTGCTTGATAGCTACCGGCTTCCTGTATTTCCCTACTTCAAGATTAATTTATTTCTCAATTTCTTTTGAGGGTTTTAGGAAGGGTTTTGGCAGAACTCTGCAGAAGAGTTTATAAAAACACATTGACCAACACTTGCCTGTTCCAACACCATCAGGGAGAGCACTGGTTCGTTATACTGACCACACAATTAATACATTTAAAAACAAAATCATGGGCAAAAGAAGCTGGAAATACATTTTATATCCTAATATAGGATGTTTAATTGAAGACAGCATGAAAAAAGGGCAGCAAAAAGAATCCTCTTCCCCCAGAGCTGAGGCACTCACAGAATCCAGAGAGTGGTAAGTTCCATAGTTGAAGCTGTTGCTGCTGCGATCCCTCTGTTGATTGTAGGCCATATCTTCCTTTTCTTTATCAAGAACAACCTAAAAGAAGCCATTCAAATGTTGAGAAAAGCCTCCTTAATTTGCAAACTGCTGACCAGATGTTTATCTTCAATAACAAAATGGTGGTGGTGCTGCATACTGGCTTCAGCCCCAAACTTCCCACAGCCCTAAAGCAAACTGATGCTTCTGCCGAATGTAACTGTAGCAAAGTGGGCAAGAATACCAGAGTTTAAATGGTCAGCACTGGGTTTTAAACACTTCTTAAGATGAACAAGAATAGTGTTGGAAAGCTTTGAGGGGGAAATAAAAAAAGCAGCGTTTCTGCTGACTTTAGATGCTATTACTGTTCATGAAGAAACGCTGCATTAGTGCCCTAAGTGGGTGTCTTTTCTCTCACACGGTGTTGTACAGTTCTCTCAGATTATGATCCTGAACTACTCTTCACAGTTTACTGAATTATGAGTAGCATTAGCACTGTGATTCCCAAACGTTTGGGGCCAAAAGACCACACAAAGTTCCTCAGGGCTTATTAGAAGAGCCCCGTGGAGCAGATGAGTTTACTGATGTCACTATTCACCATGGTTTCAGAGAGCATCTGCAGATCTCCACAGCTTCCCAGTGCAGCTGTGATCCACAGATCATCTCTCAGAAATTAATCCACAGACTACAAAAGTAAGGGCAGGACCTCATGGACAGGAGAGTATAGAAGAGTCCGTGTTAATGAAAGAGGCCAGACTGTGAATCAGGATTTGTTTCCAAAGAATATAAAAGCTAAATACGTGCCAATGGCATTGCCTACCTGCAGGTCTTCGATCAGGATGGAGTACTCAATGCCATGGGACTCCAGGAAGGCTTTGACTTCTTGGAGGCTGTTAGCGGGGATTCGCACATCCACGGGGAGCATAGGGGTGGAGGGATTTATCCAGAAATCAAGCTGAAAAAGAGAAAGGAAAATGGATTTGGTTTAGGGAAAGCGTTCTGCAAACAGCTCTTCTAAAGCTTTAGAAATGCTGATTTCCCCCAAATGGAATGACTCCTGCAGCATTGCACCCCGCCATGCGTACAGCGCGCTCCATTCTTCAGCGTGGCCTCACCACAACCTTGTACCAGTTAACATGACAAACCCACCAAAAAAAAAAAAAAAAAAAAAAGTCAGCATTTCCACCAACTTCAGAACTTCAGTCATACAAGCAAGAGGAAGTTTTAGTCTTCTGTAATGATTATTTTACTCTTCTCCCTTTTACCAGAAATAGTTTCAAGAAAAGCTTTGTATTACGGTATTAGACAGTATGAAAGCTGTTGGGTTTATTTCTCCTTTGGTAGGGCTTTTCTAAATTTTCATTTCTATACTATTCAAATCAATATTTTTAAAGAAAGTGGTAATAAAAATTCTCACCAATGACAATAAGAACAATAATAACATAGAATTTTATAGTGTCTTTTGCTGTTTCAATACAGTGTAGACTAATAAATTCCTCCCACAACGCTGAGAGACAAGAACGAAAACATTAGCATCCCCACTTTAAAGACAAGCTTTTTCATACTAAGATTAAGAGCAGATCAGTTCAAATGTGATTGTAAACCCAGCAGGAAAAATATTTTTAATGTAATTGCAGGCACTCCTGAATACCAGGGTGCTACTAGAACTGGCAGATCAAACTCCAAGTATTGACACAGCAAATTTATTTATGGCAGCTGCCACAAAATGGTACGAACCTTTCAAATGTGATGCAAAGTCCTACCCTGAAAAGCCCCACCCCAGTCTGAAACGTTAAAAAAAAAATGGTCTCTGTGGTAATAACATACCTCCAGGTGTTCAAGTGATTCCAGCAGCTGTAACTCCTTAACTTCCTCCTCATTTCTTGTCTTGATTCGGAGAACCTGGTGCCTGCAATAAATCAGTAACTCTTCAGAAACAGTCTCAGACAGGGCTCTGGTTGAACAAGCTCATTATTGAGATGATGAATGTGGTGGGTAGTTACTTGGATGTTACCATATGGGCTTCTTCAATGCAGCTGACTTCATGTCACACAAGAGTTCTACCAACCACCTGCAGGGCCGGCCTGCTCTTTGTGCACTAGGTTAGTAACTAGTTAAATGGCAACTTTTAAGATTTCATCATAACCAAGACATCAAGTGGATGAGTTTTTAATTGCTTACAAGGATCAGTCTTGAATCAACGAGTTATTTTTTTGTCAACAGCTTACAGAAAGAAATATTCTGGTTGAGTTTGCAAACGCTGTATAGTAGGGACCACTGTACAACAAAGAAAACCAGCTCTTAAATACGGATTAACTTCACCTTTCTTCGGATTAATCAAAGACTGTTGACAAACTTCCCTGTGTTGTCAGAAGGTGATAGCATCAGAGGGTGGCTTGCACCATTCCAGGTGCAATGAATCACCGTCTGGAAGTACCTCACTCTGCTGGTTACAGAGATAACCTCGGCGATTAACTCAGACCGTGCGTTGTACGACGTACAGTGATCACAACGTACAGTCTCTACGTGGTTTATAGATCACTAAAAACATATATCCCCTTCACATACACGATGTTCCAGGCTGCTTGGTGAAACAGGTACAAGCAAACAGTTCCACGAGGACAGGCTGATCTAACTGCAGCCTACAACTGCTTGAAGGGGAGTTACAAAAAAAAAAAAAAAAGACAATCTCTTCTCTACGGGGGTAGATGATAACAAGGGGAAACAGCTCCATGCCCTGTGCTGAGCAGGAGGGTGGATGAAAACTTCTGGAGGTCTCTTCCACCTAATGCTTTCACGAAATGACAAAAGGGTCTACAAACTGTAAGTGTATGCAACAGTTGGGGGACAGAAGATCCTATCCTGGAGAACCAAGGGGGATTCTGGAGGAAACCTGGGAGCCACAAGGAATAATCAGTCGGAAGTACAGCCCGGGATCAATGTTGTCAACACAAGCATGGATGTGCTCCTTAGCTGTATAGCCTGGCTTATGCAAGTGAGCTGAGCTTAACGCTGCATTTACAACCGACATTTTGTGGTTAAAGAATTTGGTGTGTTTGTTTTCATTCTCTTCCTTCGGCATCTGCCTTTGGCCACTGTTGGAGCCAGAGCAAAAGTCCACTGAGTCCCATATTCTGACGTGGCCCAGCTGCTCTGCTGGCACCCACTGCAAACAGTGCTGAAAAATGGAGACAACTCAGAGCAAATCGACATGAATAACTGCAGAACTGGAAAACACATCTTAAGGCAGGGTAAACAAGGGACTTGGCATATGAGCTCAGTTATGTGTGTGTTTATTTACTAGCGTGGCCTCAGCTGCTGAGCAGAGACAGTCATTAATACGAGGTTCTTGAGTCAGGCCAGCTGAGGTATAAGACTCTTGTTGAACCAAGTTAAATCAACACTGAAGGCACTTTACCATATTAATAATTTATCATTGGATTCTCCACCACCATAAACTTTATTTCTGAACTGGATTCTTCTGTAAAGAGGAGATGAGGCTCATTAACCACGGCTACTGGACACTACTGACTAATGAATTCACAATAATCCAGTCTACATTATGCCAGAGCCCAGATTAAATGATCAAAATAACTTCTCCTGGCTTTACAAATCCTAGGGTTTTAGAATATTATGTGTATTATTTCTTAATCCTAATCCTTACACCTTCAGATGTATTTAGAAAGGCTGTGAAGACAATTGATCATCTAAAGAGAAATAAGAATCTTCAAAACCAAAGGGAAGCTAGTGGCCTTTCTGATCCAAGGCCAGGTTCTGGTCTGTCAGCTCTTCTTTGTGCCAGACCAGATCTGTCTATCTGAACACTCAAGATTTGCAGCAAGGTTCAGCTCTGGATCAAGGCTTGAGAATGCTCCCTAGGTACAGCCAAAGCCAAGACAAAGCTTTGGTGAACATGAATTTAGGGGCTCAAGTCCACAGCAAGACCCTTCTCCTTAGAAAACCCAAATGAAAGTAGAGAAGGGTTCCCTCTCTAGCAATGACAAGTGGTGTCCTCAGGGGCTGGGACCAGTTTAACATCTTTGTTGGGGACATGGACAGTGGGATCGAGGCACCCTCAGCGAGTCCCCTGATGGCACCGAGCTGTGTGCTGTGGTGACACGCTGAGGGAACGATCCATCCAGAGGGACCTGGACAGGCTGGAGAGGGGGAACATGCAAACTCCATACAGTTCAACGAGGGCAAGGTCCTGCCCATGGGTTGGGACAGTCCCAAGCACAAACCCAGGCTGGGCGAGGAGGGGATGGAGAGCAGCCCCCAGGAGAAGGACTTGGGGGGTGGAAAACTGCCTGTGAGCCACCAATGTGTGCTGGCAGCCCAGAAAGCCAACTGTGCCCTAGGCTGCACCCAGAGCAGGGTGGGCACAGGGCCAGGGGGGGATTCTCCCCTCTGCTCTGCTCTGGGAGACCCCCCTGCAGGGCTGGGTCCAGCTCTGGGGCACCAACAGCAGAAGGACACGGACCTGCTCCAGCGGGGCCAGAGGAGGCCACGGAGATGCTGGGGGGGCTGGAGCCCCCCTGTGAGGACAGGCTGGGAGAGTTGGGGGGTTCAGCTGGAGAAGAGAAGGCTCCGGGGAGACCTTAGAGCGGCCCCCCAGGGCTGAAAGGGGCTGCGGGAAAGCGGGGGGGCTCCTGCTCAGGGAGGAGGGATAGGTTGAGGGGGAACGGGGTTAAACGGACAGAGGGGAGATTTAGATGAGATCTAAGGGAGAAATTGTTCCCTGTGAGGGGGGTGAGGCCCTGGCACAGGCTGCCCAGAGAAGCTGTGGCTGCCCCCTCCCTGGAAGGGTTCAAGGCCAGGCTGGACGGGGCTTTGGGCAACCTGGGCTAGTGGAAGGTGGCCCTGCCCAGGGCAGGGGGTTGGACTAGATGGGCTTTAAGGTTCCTTCCAACCCAAACCATTCTCTATGATTCCTTCAAATACTGGAGTACCAAAGCAACAAGACAAAGTCAGCCATAAAAAGCAAAGAATGTGCCCCAAGCAGATTTTGTAAAGTTAAGATCATGAAAAACAACAACTGGATAACAGAGCCTTAAATGAAAGGTCTTCCACAAAAGCATAACTCACCCAACAAAAGTTTCCAGGCACAAGGAAACCCCGAAGAGGGCACTGAAGATCAAAATCAGCTTCATGTTTGATGTGAAGTTCAACTCAGCCTAGCAAAGGTGAATTTATACAGGACTCGTTAAGAAACCCTTTCGAAGATAAAACACATCTGTATTTCATGTGACTAAATTCTCACATTTATCAGATCTTTCAAGGCAATCAACAGATAGGAGACCAATTTCACCTCCAAAAAAATATTTTCCACTGACACATTGGAACCTGTAAGGGAGGAATTGTTCCCAAAGCTTCGCCCTCGGAGCTCCTCAGTGTCCTTTTACACATTTTTTTTTAGATAAACAGGGACAAACTGAACATCATCCCAGGTCTTACTGGGGTGAGGAGCTCTACCCGTAGACTCTTGGACATTGGTTTTCCTTTGATAGATTCCTGTTAGCACACTCCTACAAGGAGGCAGCCAGCAGAAATGCCTCACTCCAGCAAAAATACTCAACGTGAGTGATTGTTTTGAAGGATGAACTCTGGGTCCTGCCTGCTATGCAACAAATTGTCTCTGATAAGGCCATGCTATAGATTCACTCTTATATACAAGTTACACAGTTCTAGATATAAGCCAGAGAGTTTAAATGTATTTATTGAAATTATTAGCACTTTGCTAATCTTCAGCTGGGATGGTTCCAGACAGATCCAGCCAGCTGGTGTTTCAAGTAAATTAAGACAGCAGCAAGATTCACATGAAAGCAAGTTGTGGAGTAAGAGCAGAAAAAAGCCTTGGATGAACGAGAGTTTAGAGGAGCTCAACTCTGCAGCTAGAGCTTTCTCCAGTGACAGGCTTGCTAGACATCCTCTTCTAACGAAATACCCTTCTCAGAAAGAGGGGACACAGGTTTGAGGAAGTGCTGGAAGAGCCAGGTCCCCTCAGCTTTACAGCACCCACAGGGCTGTTCCCTGATCCAGTAGCTCTCTTGTGCTGGGCTCAGTCTACGTCTCTCTTCACAGGGAAGAGCCTCCATTTTGTTCACCCTCCATGTCCAGATATTTGAGTTGTCGTTATCGATAATGGCGATGGGCAGTCTCCTGCCTGAGCTTTGGGAAACATCTCTCTTGCCTTTGGTCGTGGGAACACCCGGCTGAGGTTGTTCCAGAATGACAGGTAGAGCCAGAGGGCTGTAGGACAAGACTTTTTGTTCATCCCATTAAAAACGTTACTAAGAGCCAGGTGCTGACTGTGCTGTAATACCTGCAGAAGAGATTCCTGAGAACTACCACGGGACAGAAGGGAGATGGTTCAGCCGCTCTGTAATCAGCCTCAGGAGAGGAAGGAAGTCTCTGACAATCCCCAGAGGAAGCTGTTGATAAAATCTCACCTGTGTCAAACTTCCCTTAATCTCCACTCCCACCCTACTCCTCCACAGCCAGGGCAGAGGCTTCTTGTCATGTGCTCACAGCAGCCTCCAAGCAAGTCTTTTGTAAGGCCAGACCTCATATTTTTGGGAACAAAAAGAGCCTCAGGCAGGGATTCTGTCTCTTTTGACACACAGAAATGAGTCATCCTGCAACTGTTGTATCTTGGGGGCACACTGGAGAACATAAGCTCTGCAGGTAGGTATGTTCCTGCGAGTTGCCAGGTCTTTGAGGTTTAACCCAACCCAGTCCTTGAGAAACAAGACCTCCACTCCCCTCAGTGTAAATCAGATTATCACAAGTTTATCCTAAGAGACAGGAACCATCATGAGAATTTCCTGCTTCTAACACTACAGTGATTTTGGTGGAAATCCAATCCCACCTGTAGTTTATGGCCTTCAACATTTCATAAAGAACCAGCAGACTGTCCACACCGCCTCCTGCAGATTCACTCTTTGAAAACAGGAAGGAGAGACTTAATTTGAGGCAAAATTATAGCTTGCTTCATTACTCATGTCACATCCTGCATGGATTTAAAGGCTGCCAAGAGATCCCGCCAAACATGATGTCAGGGTCTAAAGGGCTCCAAGTGCCCTGACCAGCCTCATCTGGGGCCTCCACCCACTGTGTTCAAGGAACTGCATTTAAACCCAGACTTTTGTACCTACTAATCCCCACTGAAATGGCTACGGAAGCCTCGAGCACTGTGACCTCCCACTATAGCCATAAGGCCCTGCAGAGTTTGGAGATCAACCTTGAACCACAGAGGAAGTGCTATGGGAGAAGCCTCTGCGGTGCTCAGATCCCAAAACACCCGAGCAAATAGGGGAGCAGCAAGAGCAGGGGTGCACTGCCACAGCAAGCCAGAAACCAAAGGTGACAGCAAGGCAGGCGAGGGTAGAGAGCTCACCACAGCAGCACGGACCCAAACGAGAGGAGTGGAGCAGGTCTGGTGGCTCCGACCAGGAAAAACCACAATCCGGATCCTCAGGGAAACGCAGTCACACAGCAGGTCTGGCCAGGATGTCAAGAGCTACAAGCCCAAGTCCACCGGGCACCCGCGGCAGCTCAAACAAGGACCAAACCAAACGGCCTCAGCTTAAATGCAGCTCCCACGCCAAGGGGCGGAGGGTGTGTGGGTGGGGGCCCCACACCAGCCCTGTCAGGGCAATTAGCAGTCGCAGGGCCCTGGCACACTAACGTGGGCAGGGTGGGACATACCCTCTGCAGAGTCTTAAGAGGATGTGGGATCGTGCAGTGAATCACAAACACCCTGGTGACATGTTAAGAACCAAAATTTATTGCTTAAAATCGATGTACTGATACACGGTTTGACAGAGGGCCAGAATGGATATGACAGCCCCCCCCCC